CCTTTTAAATCCCATTGTGATTCACTTTTGGATCCTAAACCAGTTACTGGAAAGACTGTAGTGCATACTGTAGGTGCACCCTGTGGTCACACTCAACCTACACACACAGTCTCACACATCCTGAAAGCAGATCTGTATAATTTGCATACTGTCATGTCTCTGATAGTCAGAGTGAATCAATCTGTTCTCGACCATTTTTAACATAGTGACAAACAGAGGCTGAGACCCTGCCAGGCAAAGCTGTTTATTCCAGCACAATTTTATTATATTTTAACAGTACAGCAAACATGATTAACCATAAGTGGCACAGTTATTAATGCTTTTATATTGTGCTCATCTGTCAGCGACTTGTTTTCCATCGACTGCTGAGATATACTGCGGAACCATAAACTGCTACATTTATTTGGGAGAGCTCTTTGTACTCTGGTACTATACTATCTTCTTTCATAAGTCTTGGTTTTGCACACAATAGTATGTGTATTCCGAAGACCATACAGTGTTGGCAAAGATATAAAAGGCCTATTATAAACTGGTTGTTTTTGTAGAAGGTTTTTTTTTTTTACGGATGCTGTCAGCCATTGGGTTGAAGACATTGAAATACATTCACTGGCCTGGCTGTCGCCAATAGCCATAAACACAATATTGAATGTGTCGTACCCTTCAGCCACTGCCAAGATAACTGCAGAGGGGAATGGTCAGCAACAGAGCTCTTTCCAAACACAACCCGTCAACCAGCCCAAGTCTATCAGAAATAAAGATGTACCCATCAAGCCAACAGTGTTTTGAATCAAGCTTCTGTCGAGACGTGGTAGTATTGCAGGAAACGAGGGGAAGAGGACAGAGGTAGGGAGACGGAGACAGACTGAGCAGCAGACTGAGACAGAAAGATGGGGGTAGAAAGATGGATAGAGGAAAAGAGAGGGTGAGCAGGGTGGCAGAATGCCGAGCAGACGGATCCTGGTATGGCAGGAGCTCTGGGCAGGCGTCAGCTGTCCCTAGCAGACCCCCTGGGGCCACCCAGAATTCACACCCAAATACCCTCCACAGTTTCTCTCAAGAGCAACATGAAGTTATTACCCACACCCCAAACTATGAAATGAATATAAGGCTGGACTTTTTTTTCCCTGCAATTAAAACATCAGAGGACTCAAATCTCTGACAGATGTCCTAACACCAAGCAGTATACAATATGAATCACTTCCCCTGTAGCTCACGCCTGCTTCACTTAGCCCCCGATGATCTTGATCGAGCCCAAGTCGCCTCACTTAGTCTTTCTCGCTGTAGTCCTGTAGCCCGTCGTAGCCCAGCCCAGTCTAGGCCAGCCTAGCTGAGGGTGCAGAGCTGAAGGGTACTGATGAGACGGGTGTCTAAATATGTAGGACGCCGTGTCTATGCTGTGCCTGCTTCACACAGGCCCTGTGACAAGTCGAGTCATGAGGGAGCATCATGAAGAAGGAGTTTAATTAGGAGCAAGCCTCCAAAGGGGCCACAGAGAAAGACACAGAGCCAAGCAAGCATACACAGCTTTTTTGCAGTCTTTCCTCTCCGTCATACTTTTTCTTCCTCCTCTCCTTCTTTCTCCCATTTAATGTACTCACTTTCTGGAGCGTGCCTGGTGACTGTTAACGCTGTAGTCTCGTTCTTTCCCCCTCTCTCCATCAGTCTGTCTTAACTTCATAATATGTCCACATATGGTTACTTTTTTCTTTTTGTAGCAATATGAAAGGAAATTTAGTTTTATTCTAAGCCTTTTTTATTTTGAAATAAACCGACGTCTGATAAGTAAATAATAATTAATTTATATATCTTAATATATTAAGTTAAATGAATTAAATGATGATGAAAAATGTTATAAACAAAGGCAATAAACTTAAATATTGCTCTCAGAAAAGTTTTCATTTTATGCCAGCAGTCATTTTGTAAGAATAAAATAATGAGCATTTCTTCATGAAACTTAAAATCCGAGTCACTTGTGAAATTGAATAATTTCAATATGAGAATGATAATTTGAGTGAATATTGTGTGCATAGAATTCTTGGCACAAGTGAACTGCACCAAAGTGTTTTTGTTTAATCCTCATCCTATTAGCATATTCCCCAAAGACTCTATTTTCATGCCAGCTCTTCATACCCATACTCCTGTGTCTTTCAGTGAGAGGGTAGCAGCAACTTTTTCCAATGATCATTATTCTCTAGATCATTTTGAAATATATGTCTTTGTTGTGTCTTATTTAGTGATGATGTCACTGAAGAAGAGACTCAGAGCCTTGTTTGGAGCAGCAGTCGATGAATCTGTGACACAGGGGCATGAAATTCATAACAATTTCAGTGCAGAGATTAAGCAATGGGCTATGAGAGAAGGGGAAAATACATAGGATGACGAGAGTAGGCGGCAGTAGGACGGCAAGTGTGAGAGGCCCTTCTATGGCTATATGAGCACTGCAACAGATCCAATTGGTTGTTGGGTTGTGTGTCAGCCTTTGGCAACAGGTGTGATGTCTTAAAACAGGTGGGCATAACTGGGATGAGCGGCATACCATCCTTGTACCGCACCCTCAATGTGCTGAGCCCTGGTGGAAAGCTAAGCCTCTGCCACATGCTTCATAGTCATATAACACTCACGTCCTGGCTCCCTGCACCCAGTCAACACCCAATTCACCCCCCTGCCAGACCACCAGCTCAGTCGCCCCATTTGGGTGTCACCTTTACCCCAGCCCTCGTTCTCCTCTTCCAGCGCTGCCCCCAGTGTTATTCTTCCTAGAATGGAAGTGAATCTCTCATGCACTCTGTGCTGGCGGCGGTAGGTGGTGGAAATCTGTGCAAGTAGGAAGAAAAGTTGTTGTTGTTGTTTGGTTTGGTTTTTTTTCGCATGCATTCTCATGTGAACAGAAAAAGGCCAGTGGTTCAGCTCTTGTCAGTTCGATATGATGCATCACCAAGGCCAGAATGAAACTACACAAAAGAAATAGCGAAAAGTTTTACATCTCACGCCTTTGCCAAAAAAGACAGCATGCTAAACCTCTGCAACCCCTTTGTTCTTTTGACTCATCCACCTCTGATAGAGCAAGAGTGCCTGATTCACTGTAGGTCTTTTAGAAGTCAGATCTCCTGCACCGCCTTGGTTGATTTGTTTGGTGTGATTTCCTGAAGACTGTCAAAGATGTGAGAGACGCTTTCAAATTCAGAATTCCAGATTTCCACTCTGGGGGCCAAGTGAGGATTCAGAGAGAGAAGAGGAGAGCCAGCAAATGTTGACACGCTTACAGTAGCTGCCTCGCCACGAGACGCCTCAGGAATCAAACAGTTATCACACACACAAAAGAAGCCCTCTAAGTTCACTAAAACCACACTCAAAACAGGCCTTTGTTGTGCTGACATGAGAGATGACTGGATTGTTATTTGTTTTCTAAGCAGGCAGATCGCTCCCTGTCACTTGTGCTGCTGGTTGTGATGGAGTAGCTAGCACTCGTATCTCTTCCGTGAGTGAGCACTGACGGAGACAAACAAATGAGAGGAAGAAGTTCACTGAGATTAACTTATCTTAGCATCTATCTTCCTCCTTGCTCCTGCTCAGTCTCTCTTTCTTTTTTCTTGACGCTAACACCCACTCTCACACACCCACACATGCACACAAAAACACAGACTCATTCCCCTCTTTCCCTCCCTCCCACACAGAGACACACACAAGACACACACACACTCACACCAGTAGACACGTACGCACACTACAACATATACAGAGAGAGACACACACACTTGATCAGCATCAAATACAGGGTGTGCTAAAGTAAATTTAATTACGTCTGTCTGATATGGAGCTTCAGATGAAAGTAGGAGAGCGCAGTGTGAAGCGACGACTGCACAGACAGGAGCAGGCCCGTGATATTCCTCCTGTAGACTAATCTCCCTTTATTAAAGCCAGGAGGAGAGAGGGNGGGGGGGGGGGGGGGGGGGGGGGGGGGGGGGGGGGGGGGGGGGGAGAAGAGAGTGAAAGCAGGGTGGAGAGGAGGAGGGAGTGGGGTGCCTTTGATGAGATCTCTAACTGTCAGCTACTGTACTTTTCTTCTCTTCCGCTCTGTCTTTGTCTCTCACTTTATGAGGCAAATGAACACAGCACCTATCGGTACATGCCTACTTGCTCAAGCAAACATACCCTCGTGCTATCACACACAGTAATGTGCTCTGAAACTTATCCCTGTTGTTATGGTTGTCAACAATATCTAAAAAAGGACAGAGGCAGCTCTCTCTCCCTCTCACGCTCTCTTTGTCTGTGTCTCTCTTCCACTCGGAGGGAGTGGTGAGCCAGTGGAGAGTGTGCTTTTCCGCCTGTCTGCTGTTTTCTGGCCACTCTAATGGGGGCAGGTGGCCATCAGGTGGCCAAAACAGAAACTACCACATTTAATTGCACACATACCACAGTCGTGAACTCAAGCACCTCAACTGAGTTTTAATTCTATTTCATGAATCATGACACACTGATGATTATGGTTATAAAATGTGTTTTACTTTTATGACTTTTCCTTTTCCTGTGTAATTATGAGGTTTCAAGGTCCCATGATTTGTCATCTGGTCAAGAGTTTGATCACTTGTTATGTCTCGTTATTGGATGCGATGAAATCCTTTGTGCCATCTTGAATGTTTAGCTGCATGTTTTCTTGTGCACAAAGCGGCCAGTGTATCCTCGTGTCACCCCATGTTGACGGAGGTTAGAATGGAGCCTGCCAAAATGATTAAATTCTTTTGTGGAACAATTTCTCAGAAACAGACCAAATTTTTTTCACAGAAAAAAGAATGACTTTGGAAATCTGTTCATTTTAAATAAAGTGAGAAACCTTTTAATGGTTTTCCAGACTTTCCTCAAATTGGTCTTTTGTCAGGATCGATTCTAAAGGGTACCTCCTCACCGGTCATCACCATTTGTCCTTCCCAAGCTGTTTACCTGGGTCACTTTTCCCCACCCCAAAGCCCCTCAACTATGTTGTGCAACTACTCTGTTTGCAGACATTGAGAAAGAAGGGCCTAAACGGCTGTGACAGCCCAGACCCCGACGCAGACGACTCGGTCGGCCACAGCCCCGAGTCTGAGGACAAGTACAGGAAAATAAACGAGGACATTGATCTGATGATCAGCAGACAGAGACTGTGTGTAAGTACCTCTCGTTAAACCCTGAACCTTCCTCTCACCTTTCTTTCCTCTCTTTCCCTTTTTTCCCCTATGCTTTCTGTCGCTTCGTCTTCGTCTCCTCGTTTTTGCCATCTGTTCCCTCCACCCATCTCTCCGTCCCGTCATCTGTGTCTCCCTCCGTCCGTCCGTCTCTGTGGTTGTGGGACCTGGCAGGCATTAAGCAAGAAGGAGAACAAAGGCGGCGAAAGCCCGGAGCTCGAGTCTGCTCTCATCCTCACCCCACGCACTGAGGAGAAATACAAACAGATTAACGAGGAGTTTGATCACATGATTAAAACTCATAAGATACCTGTAAGTACTGGGCTGACACTACGCCGCATCCTCAGCAGGCTAACAAAGTGCTGACTGGCCAGTAACTGTTGAGCTAACCCAGCTAACCACCATTGTTTGCCACTAGACTAAATACACAAAGTGAGAGTGAGAGTAAGACCAGAGTGAAATGATATTGTATACTCACAGTGAAAAAAGAAAAAAGACAGTTCTTTGATTTTGCTTGATTACAGTTGAGGAACGGTCCTCTAATTTGACATTACTGTAACCATAACTAGCAGGCATTTCTGCTGTAGTAATTGCAGACTTTCTCTCATGACAAATTTTAACCTTACTGGGTTCCCTCCTTGAACCCGTTACCCATAATGCCTTGCCTGGCTCTCGGGGGAGGTGTGGTCTGCATGCGCTTTTCCTTTTCCTGCCCCAAAACACAGTGCTCAGTCACCCGCAACAACAAGGACAGGCGCTGTGGCGATGAAACAGCAGCAGACATTTAAAAACTCATAAGCATATCTCCTTCCTCACAAAACTCAATTATCTCTCCTCCTCGCTGAAATAATCGAAGGCAAAGTCTTCGGGTAGCCTCACAGCGTCTTTGTTAATAGACAAAGATGTGTCAGGACATGTCAGCTGCTGGATTTATATTATATAGTGTTCGTTTTACAAAAGGATCTAATCTATAGTCAGCTGCCAGAAACCACAAAATAAAAGCTGCTCTCTATGTAAACTGAGCCTGCCCCCTCGTTCAGAAAGCACCATCTTGGAATGGTTAGTGCTCTGGCCTTTCAGAGAAAGAGATAATTCCATGGTAGATAATTTAGAGAAGAACAGTAGTGTCTAAGCCGCGTGGAGCAGGGGGAGATGTGGTTAGAAGCAAGGCTGGGGTTGGTGAGCTGGGATGGCGTGGCGGTGTAGGGTGGGTTTGGGATCGGAGCTGGGTGGGGATGGGGGGGTGGAACAGCAAGGGTGGTGGTATTCGGGGAGCGGGGGTGGGGGTACTCTGCACACAACAAGTGGCAGTTCAGTGTGTGGTCAGGGTGGCTGCCAAGCACTGGGCCTCTGGATTGCAGGGGACTGTTGAGGGGAGAGAAGCGGAGGAGGAAGATGAGTAAAAACAGGAAGGATGGCACCAGTTAAAGGACAGCTTACAGACGGGGCCCTTACACCCAGCGAAGGGATGTGTGTACACGCAAATGTGAGCACAGAGACAGCTCCCCCCACTCTTTAAAACACCACATAGGGACGTCATGAGGTATAAAAACTCCAATAAGGAATCCAAGATGGAAGAAATTACTGAAAGTCTTCAAAAAATAAAACAGAACCAGAGACAGTCCCTCACTGGTTATAAAAGAAAGCTTCCATGGCGTTTTGGCGAGCCCACTCCTGTGTAAAGTTGCAGTAAAAGCGAAACGTTCAGAGGCCCGCAATGAAATAATATTTGGCCTGCAAAAAGAACATTAGCAAAGGGGATAAAATTGAAGAAGACAAAGCAGTGCCGGGGCACACATCCCACTTCCACGTAAGCCAGGCCGATGATCCCCCTGATGCGCTTCCTCCATGGCGCTGAGACACATGGCAGTAATTTAGGGCCCTATTTTCTACTTCCTAAAGCTAACATGCAGGATCAACCACTTCCAGGGCACTCCCAAGGTTAAGCCACTCTGCCAAGTGACACAATAAACATGACAAACTAGACGCCTGGGGCCGACAGGCTACCTCTACTCATGTTCCTGATGAGACTGCTGACTGATCTGAGTCTACCCCTTAATAACACTTTGCATTAGCTCCATGTGGCAGAAAAATAAATTATTCCTAATTGCATTCAGTTCTCCGGTCTTGAAGCTACTCTTGCAAGAAATATTGCAGACTTTTTCTTAAGTGAGGTGAAGACAGACTGAATTATCTTTAGCTCTTTTAGAACAGTGGGATGCCATTGGCTTTCTTCCCAGTAAACCATAGCCTCCTTATTTCTTTAATATAATAAACCAGGAATGTATTTCAGGGAATATAAATGTAATGACCGCAACATAATATTTCCTCAGGTCAACCTTTTGCCATCACAATGACAAAAGTTGCAACATGTCAGCAGCAGAAGTCCTTTACAGGGAGTTCTCTGTAGCCTCCGAAGCAACCTGCCCATGCTGGATCAAGTTTGAGTGACAAAGTATTTCCAACCCATCTATCATCATGGGGGCAATTTGAGTAACTCTGAGAGGAGTTTTCTAGGCGCTTACCCTTTAATTTCAGTGCTCCCCTCCACCATCCATACTGTCTTGTATTTTTAGTCTTCTGTTCTAGGAAGTTGTACCATTCATCTATGCATGGCTGTCTATTGTTAGCTGTCCATTTGTCCTTTTGAACTTGGCTGTCTCTGTCTTTTTTTTCTTCTGCTTTGACTGTAGTCAAACAATTTTAAATTCCTTTGTGTTCCTGGAGTGTTTCTGAATTGTCACGTCTGTCTCTCTTTCTGTATCCTTTACTCGAAGGCCTTGTTTTTTTTTTCTTCACTCACTGCAGTCGTTAGCATCTTCAGTTTAATCAAACTCCTGCCTGTGTCTCTCTTTTCCCCTCTCTTTCTCTCTCAGCAGGCCGTGCCCCCATCAAACTATGACATGCCTGTGTCCATTCCTGTTAGCAACCAGAACAATCTCATTTACAGCCATCCAGGTGGTTCCCTAGGCAACCACAACCTGTTGCCACTGGCGCACCATGGCCTACAGAGAAACAGCATGTCTCCCGGAGTCACACACAGACCCCCCAGTGCAGGTAACACAGGTAGGGTCTCACTCGCACTCATGCACCCATGTACATGCTGTTATCCCATCTGTCTATCTTCTCAACTGTGTGTGTGTGTGTGTGCCCGTCTGTCAAGCTAATACACACACACATTAAATGCGTGATTTATTTTATGACGGCTACCCGCAATATTCCACCTAAAGGCAGTGAATGAATCTAAAGTCCCTCCCATATATTTTCACATAATGCCTGCTCAGGATTTTTGTTCAAAGTAACCTGAAGATTTAAATCATATTAAATCCCAGCCCACAGTCTCGTTGATTTAGTGTGAGGTTCTACACATGGGATGTCTGGCCCTATGTATAGGCTTTTAGTTGCTGGTGACATAAGCAAATCAGGCCTGTTGGTTTGTTATTGTTGTCCAAAGTCCTTTTTCTGTCCCTCTGGTCTGAAGGCTGCTGCCCACACCCTCACCCTGTCATTACAACTGGATGCTAGAAGCGCTAGCACAAACTAAATATGAGTTTTGGCGCTCGCAGCATCCACACCAAACCGCACACGTTCTGGACCCTCCCACTCTTCCACCTCACATGGCTTAAAAATAATAATGTGTCATTTTTCTTGGACGGCAGCTTAATGCATCCACTCACAGTATCCAGTTGCTCAGAGTGTTAAGGTTTGAGTGGGAAGCAGTATTAGTTCTGGTATCAGTACACATGTGACGTACTGACACAAACACACACACACACAAACACACACACACACACACACAGTTGGATTGTGATTAAATTGAGTTAGCTTCTGAAAGGCCAGCAAGGTAAGAGACATGAGGCATAGTGGATGTTATGTGGGTGTCTATCCTCTAATGGTTTTCTCTCTTTTGCTCTCCTCTCTCTTTCATCTTTCAGGTGGCCTCATGGGTGCTGACCTCACCACTGGCGCAGGCACCAGTGCTGGTAAGAATGGCCTCCTCTTCTCGTTCACAGTTGTCTGCTAACACACACACACACACACATACACCCACACATACACACTTACATGGCACCCACTCACCCACTCTGGGCCATAAAATGCATGACTAATAGTAACCCAAACCCCAAGTGGAGATTTTGTCCATGGTGTGTTGATGTTAGTGGTCGTGGAGTTCATCTGGGAATGTTTGCCCAGTGCTGGGGCTGTGACACATCCTGCCTGCGTTCAGCTATAAAACGGTACAACAAGTGTGAGGAAACAGAAATAAAATCGCACTAAATACTTGAAGCAGCAGATTGAGTGACGGGCAGTCAGGAGGGATGGTGGGCTTTTGTCTGTTCCTCTGTACAATGAGCCGTGTCTTCATTTCTACCACCTCCTGGATTTGGATGTAAATTCAAAATGACAACACCCATAGCTCCCATTTGGAGCACACATATGCTTGTTGCACTGTAACTGCTATCACATGTCTGCAACCAAACTAATTTAATGTTTAGAGTGGCTCACCATGCCATAATGATCCTGTGGAGAGTGGAGCGACCCATGTTTGAGGAACATGTGTAAGGAATCTTATGTGTTAGCTTCTGTGTGTCAATGGATTTGTCCCTGAGGACAAGTTTATGGCAAAGAGACTGCCTTTTAAGGGGTTAAATTTTACAGCCTGGACGTACAGTGCAGAGTGTAAAAATGGAGAGTGGGGGGGTCAGAGGGGTACAGCTGGGCAGCCTTGTCTGGCCCCTAGGGCTCCATCACAAGGGGTCAATGCCTGGTTTCTCTGTCTGGTCACTCATCACACACACAACAGGACCATTTGTTGTGGTGTGTGTTCCGTCGACGGCGTGCTGCAGATCATGCTTCAAATGTAGCCTTTGTGTCACCGCGCTGGAGGAACAGAGGCGCTCTGTGAGAGCTGTGCGTCGCTCAGCAGCAGCGAAAAACACGACGTGGAGAGAGAGTCATGTGGGAGCTAAAAGATTCCATTCAAAGCTCTCTTAAATCTCATCTAGGGGGACTAGGGGGAGAGAGAAAGAGTGTGTGTAAGGAGGTGGGGGGGGACCCCAGTGATGAATATCCACTGATGGTGGAAGCATGTGTGCAAAGGAGAAACAGTGGGGGAACACAGATGGAAGTGTTCTGTGAACTTGGTCAGCCATTTTAATGATGTTCCTCTAAGTGACTCAGTGTGAGGTGGCCCAGCCACTGTGGCACCACAAAGGCTGTTTTAATGTTCCTCTTCTCCTCACCGTACGTTTTGATAAGCTGATTGTACAAGTAGCTGTCTGGCCCATGTATGAGTGTCTTAAGTGGTGTGGCCTAAGTGACATAGGAGGTGCCTTGTGTGTGTGTGTGTGTGTGTGTGTGTGTGTGTGTGTGTGTGTGGTTCCGACATGCACATAAACACAACACCTCCTTTGTGCCTCTGATGTCATGGTTCCACTGTCTGTAAAGAGACTGACGAGAGAAAATGACAGCTTTTAAACAGCACTCTCACATGGAATTAGTATTACCTGGGCTAATGCTATTTCTGCAGTTTGGGAAGATTGCAGAAGTCGTTTGAGTCTTAATCCCATAAAAGTCTGAAAAGTTATTTTGCCACTGCTGCTTACCTAACATATATTACCAAGCATAGTTCTTCAGATATTTTGAATTTGGTGTGAATTGTCATCTCAGTAAACTGCCTTGTCTGGACAAACGATGATGAGGGTAACAGTGGAAATAAGAGATGTGATAGCATTTTTAGTGTCATGTAACTGTATGTTTTCACGTTTCTGAGAGGAGTCTAAATTTTTAAAGATGCCAGAGTTGCCTCCAAAAAATACTGTATACTGGTTATAACAATTGTGAAGTTGCAATAAACCCAAAATCCTTCACTTTTTTATGTTAAGGAAACAAGGCAAAGTCCGTTTTTGTTGTCGGTCGCCTAGCAACACTGTTGTCATGACTTAAACCACTTGAACTTCAAGCATATCGTGTACTAGTCTTCCCTTGTCAAAAATACAAACTTGAAAGTTCCCTTTCATTGCAGCGTTAGCGTGAAGATGCACTATGTTCCAATCATATCTGCAGATAATCCTCGGGATCTGGCCGGTACATTTAATTGAAACCCAGACTTTTTGTTTATCCTGTGCAAATATGCCGCATGAAACCCAGACGTGGGGGTGAAGTCTAAATCACACAGGGTCCCCAGCTAGTCCAGTGCAAATAGGGCACGCCACTGAAAGACTGAGTCATCATGTCTCTTCTATGGAAATATTGTGTGAAGTGTGCACGTGCATGCGTACGTCCACTCATTTATATATGGTATGTGTTCAATCTGTCAACTCCTTCGCCGGCGAGGAGCGAGTGTGAAGTGGAGGAAAGAGACAGAACATGAAGGAGCGAAGGAGAGAAAGAGAGCTGATGAAGGGAGCTCCGGACCGAGGCCCCAGCTTGTATAAACCTCCCACCTCCATTTGTGCAATTATGTAGCTGTCATCTATGCTCCGATCAGCACTCTGCTCACCAAAGCACTGCGAGGAATTAACACGGAAACTCGAGTCACCTCTCACCTTGATCACACCCCAATTACTCCCTCAAATGAGCTGCATACCAGCTACATCTTTAAGACATCTCTGGTCAAAATCACACTGCACTACAAGCTTAAAAAGCACACGTACAAGAACTGACAACAAGCCAGGTTCAGCAGATCAAACAACGCTTGTCTCATTCTTGGCAGCACCTCACACCAACTGTACAAGTTGTAAGCGTGAGTGTGACACCTTAGTTCAGTTGGAGAATTCAGGGTTGAATGCACGTTTGGCCAAACCGCAACGGAAGAGTGTGTGTATGGGGAATAGAATGGAGTGCGCCTGTTAGACCACAACAGGACATCAGAAATTTGTTCAGTAACAGTAAAATGTACATGAGTTTAACCACACCTCTCCTTGGTGTGTGTGTGTGTGTGTGTGTGTGTGTGTGTGTGCGTGTGTGTGTGAGAGAGAGTGAGACAGACAGACAGAGACAGAGAAAGAGAAAGAGAGAGAGTGAACACTGGGGGAGCCTTGTCAAACACATGGATCTCAAAGTGTGCTAAGTTGTAACCATGGCACCTTTAGAGACAGATTGCAATCCTTCAGCTTTGAGCTCAGCTGTCCCCTCCACACCTCAGAAATAGGAAAGAGCTGTTTATCTGAATCTCAAATCAGGTGTTGTTCTCTACGTGTGAGTTTTGTACAGCAGCAACACAGACTCCTGGCTGGGCTGTGTTTAATTTTGGTACTTCCTGTAAACGGTTGACGCCAGCCTGCGCCGCAGCTCGACCGTGCAAAGCAGCGTTAGAAGAGCAGAGTGGAAATGAACTCTGGGTATCACGTCTTCAGCTCATATGATAGTCGAGCCCTCATCCCTTAGTCCCCATTGAATGCAACTGTCCTAAAATCAGGGTGATGAAGCTACAGAATAGAGAGACTTGAGTCGCAGTTCTTCCTTCATTAGCTTAATTAGCCAATGATTTTACTTTTGAAGTGCTTAAGGACTGGCCTATGCCACTCATGATCATAGTCATCTAACAGATAATTGACTGGACCGCAGCCATCTCTACAGGGTGGCAATACACAGATGTCTGATTAACTGTCACCGAGATGAAGTCCGTGTCATCTTGACCAAAGTGTGTATTAATGTCTCTCTATAGCTCCGTCTCTTTTTTTCATTCATCTGTACAGAAACACTGATGTACTTCCTGCTGGGTTATTTACTAAAGTGTGCATATGTGTGTTGGGTGTGTGTGTTTTATGTGTGTGTGAGGTCTCATTCATCTATCTCCACATGCACCCACTCAATCTCACAAAGGGCCAGCCATGAGAATGAGAGAGCGGGAAAACTGAAGAGGCAGCTGCGTCTTTGCTAATGTGAGATTGACACTGGAACCAAGAGGGTCCAATACAAAACACACACGTGCATCCATATGCATGGCTCGCGCATAAGCAGTCGTACAGCATGAAGTTTCAAGTCGCGCTGTGCTTATGTACACTCAGTGTGGCAGAAAAATGGTGCTTATGTAGAATCATGCACATGGCAAAATTGTATGCGGCTAAACATACAATAACACACAAAGTCTATGTTGTTAACATCAACTTGTACATGATCACACATACCAGCGGAGGCACTAAGACACACACACACACACACTCCAGCCGTCACACACACTGTTTTTCTCGTTTTCTGTCAGACGGCCTCATTTTCTCTCACCGCTAGCGGTCGTTTACTCTTCAGATTGTTCAAATTGAGCTTTTGAGACTTTTCATTTCCAAACAACAAAAACCTCGCTCTCAAATTAAACAAAGATCAGCGAGGGAAATTGCCCAGGAAGACATCTGCGACTCATTTTCCCCTGGAGTATATGATTAGGAAATTCATTTATGTCTAACGTATAATTCCTGCCCGTCTTTCAAGTGGGAACGTCCACACAGTGCCCTGTGTTCTACCCCTTGGAAGAAGGAAGGAGAAGTAAGGGGGAAAACAGCCTGCGGGATTGGGTTAGAAACAAAGACTATGTTGCTTGCAAGAATGCTCCACTCTCCTTTTTTTTTAATGATGTTGCTGGGATTTCGCCCCACCGGTTTAAGGAGGAAATGGGTGCTGCACTTGGCCCTCCTTATTTAGGGAACACAGATCTAGTGGCAACCCCAAGGCAGGGTCTTTGTCTGGAACAACCACACATGTGTTTAGCTCTGATGGCCAAATGATGGGTCCCATCCCTCTGTGGTCTTGCTACCCGTAATTAGATGTTTTTACACGATTTGCTGGCTGTTGCAGGGCACATGTAGCCTTAACTGACAGTGACAGAGGTGGAGGGTGAGGTCCTCTCAAGTGGGTGCCTTCATTGTATGACTGCCAAACAAACAGCGGTGATCATCAAGAGCAAAAGCAAAAAAAAACTGTACGGGTGTTTGACTATCTGCCCCCACCAGTGTGCACCACTTTCATGAAACATCATTTACAAGTCTCTTCTTCAGACTGTTGAGCTATTAAATATCTACCACAGGAAGTAGAGATGAGACAGAAATACAGAAAGAGGTGAAAATGGATTCCTGTTGTTCTTCATTAGACTACACTATCATGAACAGCAGGATTTCCAAGATTCGTTAAACTTTAGAAACAGGTCTAATACCATATAGCTCTGTCTTTGGTTCAATTACCATAAATAAAGTACCATAATAAAGTATAATAAATAAATAAATAAATAAAAGTATATTTCATGTTTCTCTTTTTTTTCTCTCCCATTTTCCTTTGCTCTCTCAGGAAACGGATATGGGAACCACCGCAACTCGCCAGGTCTGCTGGTCTCTCCAGGTGGCATGAACAAGAACATGCAGGCAAAGTCTCCTCCACCCATGAACTTAGGCATGAACAACCGCAAACCTGACCTACGTGTGCTCATCCCCCCTGGCGCCAAGAACAACATGCCCTCCATTGTGAGTAATCTCTCTAACCCTCTTTTCATTTCCCTACTGTATATCTTCCTATCTATAGGGGGGTCCTTCGGGGGGGCGGGTTCGCTATTGTTGATTTCCTTTCATGTCCCCTCTGCTGCTTTCATCTCTTCATATCAGACTTGGGTTGATGAGGTTATGTTTGTGATGAGCTTGACTTTAGGCACATGGCATTTTTGTTGTTTTCTCTGGTGCCTTGGCAGCTTCTTAAACTAAAACCCTTCTTTAAAATTGACTTTTGGCCCAAGTCTGATATACTGTCAGACGTATTTCCTCCGCTGTCTGAATGTGGGTGCTGATACATGAAGCCCTGATATTTCTTTCTCCTCTCTCTCTGATAAGGTGTGTTAAGTTAGTAAAGTTACAGTAGTTCTTAGTTCTTTGTCACATTAGTTCTGTGTCCGTTGGCTCGATCCTACAGCAGCTCCATCCCTAGATCCACACGTAGTCACCGCCTCTATATTCTCACTTACACTCACTAATTTGAATTTATCACCCTCCCCTTTCAATGCCATCAGTCTGAGGATGTCGATCTGCTATTGGTAAGTCAGACTGCCACTCAGATTTAGATTTAGAATTCAAAAACAACCCAGACGGGCATTAAGAATCTGAAACTTGAAAGCTTTTCTTACCAGATAGTTCTTGAGAGCATAATGTGCCTTGTAGAGCTGAGAGCATTTCAGTCACCTGAGTCTGACGTCTTGATTTGCATTCAATTTTTGCCATCACTGCTGAGATTATTACAGCTAGATACAGCATTTTGAGACTCCAAAGTAACTTTCACCTTTATTGTTGCTGACTCTGCTGAAGGCTCCAATGTCACCGCTCATGACATTTTGTGAGAGCACATAGTGCCATCCAGTGGTGCGTCAGAGTAAAAGCTGCCTGGCCTCTTTTCCGCCTCAGCCCTTGTTTATCTACTCCTCCCTCCCTTCCTTCCTTTTATCTTTTTCGACTGCGCATTGAGTCTTGCGCCGCACACGTACAGCTCACAGCTTTTATTACCCGGAAGGTAGAAATGAAGGGCAACAAAAGAGTACTCTTTCATTTTGCATCAAACCTCCATTATTTTCTGCCAAGCCCTCCCCTCTGCTACAGTAAAGTGCCTCTCCCTTGCCGTCGCTACCCTGCGTTGCCTTGGAGACCGATGGTGTTACTATAGCGACAGTGGGCCCTCAGAAAGGGTGGTAAATGATAGGGTTGGCAGGGTTCAGCCGTGCCGCATGTCAAGTGATTAATTTCCCCAGAAGTTGGCATCACATTCATTCTCTCAGCATCTGTTGAGTGAAAGAAAGAAATGAAAGAAAATCAAAGGGAAAAAAAACTTTCTTGGTTTATGGCAGTTTTTTGTTTGTTTTGTCTGGGAGTTGATTTCATGTTCTCAAGCCTGCTCTCCCGTCTCTCTTGCTCTCTGTCTCTTCCCGTCTTCTGTCACAGAACCAGAGAATAAACAACTCCCAGTCTGCTCAATCATTGGCCACCCCAGTGGTATCAGTAGCAACTCCCACTCTACCAGGACAAGGCATGGGCGGTTACCCATCTGCCATCTCTACTTCATATGGTACCGGTATGTACTGTGTGATCTTTATACATTAAATTCTCATTTGTCCATTAACACACTCTCAATAATTCCCTTTTACACATGTCAGTTTGTAAAATATAGTTTCACTTGCCCAGTACTCTCCAAACATGTTTGGTTTTAGATTTGGTGCATCAGTAAAAATAATTATTTGACTCATTTCAAGTACATGTGTTGCTTTTGAAACCTCAAAATGTAAGTGTCGTACAACAGTTCCAACAGCAGAGGGTGCTATTGTCACACCAACCAACACTGAGCACATTGCAGCAGCATCTATCAGAGCTGCATTCATTTTTCAACTTTGTTTGAACTTCTCTGAACAACCTATGATCTTCATCCTCCTCTTCCATTTCCTGTGTTTTTGTACACAGAGTATTCCCTGAATAGTGCAGACCTGTCCTCCCTGTCTGGCTTCAACAGCGGCAGCTCCCTTCACCTCGGCTCAATGAGCGGGTGGCAACAGCAACACCTTCAGAACATGCAGCATTCAGCCCTCGGCCAGCTAGGGTGAGTGCACTGAACTTAATTTGAGATGTTGTGTTGTTGTGAAATGCATGATGTAACACATAAATCACCGGAGATTATTTTTTTGAGATGCCAAGAGTCCTTCACTGTTTTCAACTTTCACTTGCAAGGTCCAACACAAATATCACACCTCCCTGTTTTCATGTACATGAATGTGTGTGTATGTGTGTGTGTGTGTGTGTGTGTGTGTGTGTGTGTGTGTGTGCGCTCGCATGCATGTTTGCGTGTGACAGACTGACTTTGTCTCTTGCTCTGTAATTCTGTAACCCCCTTGCGTCTCCTTTCCTTCCTACAGAAATTGCTCTAGCTCTCACTTATGTCAGGGTTCAAATCTCTCCCTGCCCTCTGCTCAAAGCCTGCACATCAAGTCCGAACCTGTTTCTCCTCCTAGAGATCGCACCAGCAGCACACCGGGGGGCTACGGTGGAGTACCACCTCCCCAGAACCCCTCGTCCCGCCAGGACTCGGGACGCTCCCCTGTTGATAGTCTGAGCAGTTGTAGCAGCTCCCACGAGGGCAGTGACCGCGATGAGCACAGGAATGAGTTCCACTCACCTCTGGGACTGGCCCGGCCCGCCCTGGACGAGCGCGAGAGCCCCTCCATCAAACGGGTGCGCCTGTCAGAAGGATGGGCGACATGATAGCTCTGTCCTCTCCCCGGCAGTGCCCCGAGTTGCCCTGAGCCCCCCCCTCCCCGACAACGCAGCGTTAGGATGCCCACCCGAGTCAGCTCCCTCCTCTTCCTCCTCTCACTCGATATCACGAGTCACTCACCACCCAACCCCATGGCCTCTCTCCTTTTTATCTCTTTAACGCTGAAGGAAAGAAAAGGGACAGCCCTTTTCGAAAATATGTTTGTAATTTCTTTTCCTTTTATTATTTCCTTTTTTTCTTTTTGCTGAGTGTGTGTGCTATACATATTGACATTATTATAAACCAGTGGGGTGTTGTAATGGGGGTTTGGGAGGGTGGGTGTTGGTTGGGATGGGATCCGGGGGTATTTTTGTTGGGGAACTATGCATAAATTGTATTGTGTGTGGATAAAAAGAATCACGTATGCATATATCTTTACACGTGTGTGTATGTGTACATATATGCATATCAACAAATAAACAAAAAAAAAATAGTCAGGTACTCTGTTTCATAAAACGTACTTACACTTTGCCTCAGCGATATATCAGTGACTAGAGACAAGAAAAAGAAAAAAAAAAAAAAAACATTAACATGAGAGTGAGTGTGTCCAATGGAAAACACCTTAGCACTTGAGTTGGACAAACAATACATGTGTACAGTGTCGGTTTCATTGCTATATAACTTCTCTGCAGTTCTCCCTTGCAAAAATGTGTGTTAACATTAGATGATGTCATGTTGCAGGTTCAACGTATTTATGTAAATAGAGGGTCAAGGGGGGAAGGGGCAGGGGTCAAAAGTTGCCAGACATTACAAGATTTATTTACTCACTAAATGAAAAAGCTATTATGCAACATTTGAAGGATTGTACAGGTAAACAGGCAGACCCAATGCTAGACGTGTGGAACCTTTGATGACGTTAGCGCTCCCCTTAAAGAACGGAGCCGAGCGAGGACCACCCTTTGATCTAAGAGCTACGTTAGTGTAATCAAGAAAACTCTGGATCTAGTATTAATATTCAGTATTAATAAACGAAGAAAAAAAAAACGGAAAAATAAAAAACAATTGTACGATACACTTGCTTATATTTTCATATGAAAGGAATACAATGCAAAGCATTTTTGTGGCTTTTTGTAGTTTCTATAAGCCAGAATGTGTTTTTTGATAGCTTTGCTAATAAGAGATGGATAGTTCGCCCAGAGGGGAAATGAAAGGAATTTGCAGCCCTAAGCCATGAAAAACAGACTGAGATCCAATGCTTTGCTGAACTGTTTTATCTTTGTAGAGGTTTGTTTTTAAACGTGTATTTCTAATTATATATAATAATGGTAATATTAAGATTCTTTAAAAAAAAAAATCTGTGAAATTAACATGCTTGTGTATAGCTTTCTAATATATAAATATATATACTAATGATTTTTGTTGGTTTCTTAGTGGAGTTTCTATGTGCAGTTGCACATGTTGTCTGGTTTGTTTCATTTGAGCCTGGAACAGTGCTGTTCGGGCGTGTATTTAGTCTAACCTTAAAAACCAGCTGGAAAGCATTGCCAGGGTTTGTGTGACGGAGGGAAGACAGGCCTGAATGCTGAGAACACAACCTGTTAGTGGAAAATGTCACGAGACTGGAACTGGGGATGACACAGAAATAAATGTTGCCACATGATGTACATGATTGTCACGCTGATGAGGAAATATGACTGACCCTCAATCCATGCCTGGATGCATTTGAATGCATCAGATATTTCATCCTTAACCTTAATTATTTAATTTAATACACTTAATCTCATCAAACATGTTTTTGACATTAGCGACGTTCAGCTCCATTTCCAATCACCACAATTGTAGCTTGTGTTCGAGATGCTGCACAAGCCCAGAGCCAATCTATACGATTTTTCTATCGAATCATATTTATGTAATATAATTTTGTACATTGTGATTAATTACCCCCCCGATCATTTGCAAACCTAATTTGATTCGTCGTCGTCCTGTGGCTCCTCATGTTCCATTCTTCAAAACAGGGTTCCACATCATTTACCACATGTCACACGACAGTTCAGAAGTCAGACACACGAGGATAAATTGATCATGCTGGTATGGAAGAAGCACAATTGTTTATTTTAAATAAATAGCTGTTTTGATTTTTCTCTTTTTTAAACAATGAAACTAGCCACATATCTCTCTCTCTCTGCCTCCCACTTCCCGTATCTGCTGTCACTTAAGTGTTATAATATTTCTATGTGCATATTTCATGCAGGTTCACTATGTTGTTACTGTATACAGTCTGTGTAGTAAAACAGGGGCAGAGCCTCTATAATGGTGTTCTCTCTTTTTTTTTCTTTTTTTTAATTCAATACAAAAAGGTTGAGAAAAATAAAAAATAAACATGATGTTTCAGGCAGCAAAGTGTGGAGAAACCAAAGCCAGTGGCATTTCTGTGTTGTAAACTCAACTTTTATTTTCACATTCATTTATGGTTTTTGCAAGCATTGAAACAAGACAATAAAAGAATTTGCTCAAATGTACAATTGGTTTCACATTTCAATTGCAGTCAGTCAAATGTAGCTGTAGATGCCAATAACCACAGTAATTCACCTGTTGCTCATTTGTCCCCCCTGTGCATTGAAATACCCTTTTTTGTATTTACAATTTGTTATCCGCTCAGAATCAGGCATGCTTGCTGTCCACTTGATCAAAACACACCACACACACTAATTCTCATGCTACTTGCTCACTGATTGAAATAATGCCAACATGTCCTGATGGTTGATTCGAGTGCTGTAGTTTTTTGACAATAATTTGAACCAAAGACACGGAGAAAACTTTGTCTTTATATCTTTGTTTTTGTTTCTTTTTCTTCTTCTTGTGTTTGTTCAATTTGAAAGGCGTTCTTTTTCATCACCTGTTGATCAGTTGTTCTTTTGTCATTATTATAATAGACTAAATGTTGGTACCTCAAAATTGACCCAAGCAGTACCTCAGCTGATGTGTTGATAAGTCACTTGCAGTGAAAAAGGGGAGACCATACACCTGTACAGCCATGTGTAATAACCATGTAATACCATTGCTTAAGGTCCCTGCATTCACATGGGGGATTCTTTGTTGCTCCACCGTGTTTGTGGTTTATTTAAGTTGTATTCAAAAGCTGAAAAAAAAGGATTTTTAAAAAAAAGAGTAATATGTTAAAATGCTTAAAAAGTCAGTCTGTAGTATCAAATGTAGCTTGTATAAACCTGAGAAATGGGGGAGGTTTGGAACTAATGTTTTCTGGAACGCAAGAGCGGCTTTCAGCGGCATAAGCTGGCCTTTGTCGCCACTTGAGACTAAGATGGTATTAAATTAAATCCACATCTCTGTAACTCAAGGGACTTGATTCAGCTGTATGTAGTGAAAACGTATGGGGATGAAATAAAAAAAGTCTCCTCTGCTGGAGGGAAAGGCTATTTGTATTTTGCAGAGATTTCAGTAAAGTTACTGGCTTTCTTAGTTATCCTGATGTGACTTGGTGTGATTTCATTGTGTTTGACTTGTTTCTGCATGCATCTCCAAATGCTGGCTATACTTTCATACTGTGCAGAGCTTAAAAAAAAATCATCATGAAGTCAGTGCATGGTGCCATACAGCAGCTTCACTTTAAAACAACACATTGTATATAGGACATTGAAATAATGACAATAGCATCATCATTTTACATTTACATTTTTTAAAAATGTGGCAGTCTGACAGAAGTATTCATGACATTTATTTGACATTCAAAGCCAAGGTTTATCCCACTTAACATCACAGTGGTATCATCGTTCTCAGTGATACACTACACACTACATAGGGACCTTACATTCACAGGGAAAAACACATATTCATAAACAATGCAAACACAGTGATCTGCTCCTACAAATAAGAGATGTAGAAAAAAAATCCCTAACACACACACACACACGCACATATAATGGTCCAGGCCTACTCCAGGACTATCTTACACTCCTGAATAAAAAAGAAGGCGAAAAGAAAAAAATAGAAAAGGAAGGAATTCAGTTAAATCAATGATTTCCTTTTCTTTTTATGTGTTACATGTGGGAATGTCTGACGCACAGTGGAGCTGCGTGTTTAATAATAATGGCAGTGGATGAGGCGTTTCTGGTTTCTGGAAATACAGTAATCCGAATCAAGAGTTGCACGTCTTTTAAGAGATGTTGGTGTGATTGTACACGCAAATACTGATTTTAAATATTAGACACATTTGAGTCCAGCTGACGCGGATTTCTGTTCTTTGCGTTTCCATCTCCAACATGCCTCGCGTTTTGCTCATTTTGCTCATTTCTATTTCTCTAAAAGTAATCAAGTGTTTCTTTTCCTTTATTTCTTTTAGTGGATAAAAACATTAACAAGCAAGTTAGACAAACTCTGTTTTATATGGAGACTTCCAGTGTGTTTGAAATTCCAGAGCGAGCTTTGCGAACCCTTTCTGTTTTTTTCAAAGTGTCCCTGTTGCAACTTAATTTAATATTTATAATTTTAAGGGGAATTCGTTTTATTTTATTTTTCGTTAGAGACTCGGACTGACACACTCTTTTAAAAGCCCAGGGTCACTCAGGTCATAGAAGGTGCGATCGAAACCAAATCTTTCTTGTCAGCCAGAGTCCTCCAGAAGTCAAGCAGAGCCTCTAAATATTCGTCCATCTTTTCGTGAATCAAATCATGTCAGGTCCGGAATACAAATATAGAAACAAAGAAAGACTTGTGTACTCTCTAATTAAGTCAGGCCCATCAATTAGATGAAATAACCTGAAAAGAAAAGTGTGTTATGATGCGTTTACTGAAAGTAGGCTACCTGTGAGGCCTACTTGTAGGATGAAGACACACGTTTCATCATCAATGATTCGTTTCAGATTTTAATTGTAAAAGCACCACCATGTGGGAATGTAACTCTTTCGATATATTCCAATTAACCCTTTTCTTTATTTTGTGTATTTGCGCCTTTTTGTGTATTAAACTATTAATTTGGGTGTTAAATTTCCCATGTGAAATAAGGTAAATGGCCATATATATTTAGCATCCAATGGATTCATCCTAAATAAGTCTTATGTTTTTTAAACACGCAAAACTGGAAAACGTGTTATAAGGCTGTGTAATAATGTTGCCTCAAAGAAGCAGATTAAAATTTGGATTTTTTTTTTTTTTTAAATCTCACAAGTAATGTAACTACAAACACAAAACACAAACACGTACCTTTATCATTACACGTGCGCACAAAATCGAAAATTATGAAATCATAATTGTGTTGAAATCCTGTCTACAGAAGGCTGCAGTGTAGAAATGATTCTCTTTAAAACGCCCCATAACACTGTGATTTACGGTACTCAGTAGTTAATATGACATTACTGTAACGGTATATTTTATTTGCTGTATTACTGCAATATTCCGACAGGGATCTGTGTGCCTCTGCTGCTAAGCAGTGAGTTTTATAGCTTTACAGTTTATAGTATATATATTTTTTAAATCTCTACAGTATTCCTGTAGCTTATGAGTTCCTCAAAACTGTCCTGTGGGTTGCTGTAATGCGTTTGCGCAGTTTTTAATTAGGCCGCACTCCATGAAGTCCCTCCACTGCTTCACAGCATTAAGCTTTTAGTGAACTCGAAGGGTTAATTCCAGTAGCCTGTGGTGAGGGGAGGCTGATAAAGTCACCGGAGGCGCAATATAATTTATTATCTGTCAGAAATAATCGATTGTGACAACAGTTCTCACAGTTTCTCAAAAGGTCAGACTGATGCAGAACACGTCATCGTTTCAGCTGGCAAACAGGTTGCTTCAATCTGATCCCACTCATCGTGTTAAACGCTACAGATGCAATAAAAAAACGAATAAAAAACAAGAGTATGGCTAGAAAATATGAAAGAAAAAGCAAAGTCTCGATCTAAATAAGAATTAAAAACAAGACAACATATTTAAATTAACTGATAGCCTGGAAAATAAAATAAAAAAATAAGTAGATTTAAATAATGTTTTATCAGTGCAGAAACATAGTGGCCATGCATTAAAAATGTCCCAATTCAGGCTACACGTGCCGCATTTTGCAGGATCTGTAACGTCAGTCAGGTGTAGCATCTTATCTAACTTCACTGACGTAATTTGGGCTCTAACAAAAACACAAACTGTATTTTATGATCGTGCACGTGCATGCACTGTGTATGAAATTTCAATTTGGGTGGGGTGGCGGGCCAGCAGCAGGTGTACATGCACTTTAGTGACCGTGCAGGCTGGCCACAGCTTCCTCATTAACATTCTCCAGAATCGCCACTAGATGTCACCATTTAGTCGTGTAGTCGAATCCCCCTCAACCTTCACCCTCCTCATCCTCATCTTCAGTCTCCGAAGCTATTCATGTAGATCGACCAGACATAAAAAGCCTGTGTACTCTCCACTAAGTGCAGCACGAGCAGTTTTTCTGCGAGTGCCAATATGAGATATGAATATTACTCCCTCATCAGTTAAACACACAGTTGTTTAAGATCCACATTTTAAAAAGAAGGATACGATGAAATGAAAGGTAAAAACAACAGGGAGGTAATAATGAGAATAATAATAATAATGATAATTAATAATAATAATAATAATAAAAATATTTTACATATAGCCTTATCCATGCACTTCTGTTTGTCCCCTTTTACCAAAAGGCGGGAAAAGTTTTCATCAGTGCACTGTGCACGAGGCTCCTCACACCTTTTAACAACTACAGGTACGCTTCAAAAAATATCATGGCTGCTTCTTTAACTTGGAGGTGTTTCATTACACTAGTTTTAAAATAATGTCTCCTGTGGCAGACAAGGCTCGCCTGTTACATCTGCATCGTTACATGATGTCTGGCCTCAAAGTGGAGGGACAGAAAATATTTTATTATGTGTCTTTTTGTCTCAGTGGTGAGTGTCGATGGACGGAGGATTACGGCCTATAAGTATTTTGCTATCCTTGTTTTATATAAAATATTTGCCAAATTGTGGCTCACATTGCGTCTCCATATGAGCTCGTTTTAATATAGAAATGCAAATAGGCTATGAATAAGACATAAATGATGTCCTATTTTGTTTGTCCCCATTTTCAACCAAATCAACTCATCTGTTTGGAGTCTGTAAGTTTTGCTGGGACTCGAACACGCGGCCTGGTGGCTGTGTATTCACAAAACGCCGTTAGATTAAACGCCACCAAGTCATTTCTAATTAGCACGCACAGAAAGAATACAGTGTCCATAAATTGCGTTCCTCCTTTACATGATTCAAATGAGGATCACTGAAGAGCGCAAACTCTTTCCTCTCCTCTCTAACTCCCATTACACACTTTGGACTTGTGCAGCCTATGCTCAGGAGAGGTATTTAAAAAATAAAGGACCTCACGTAAATCATCCTGCTGAAGCTGAAGGTCCTGGAATTGACTATTTTTAATAAGAAGATGACACTAACTTATTGAAAGAATAACAGGTTGCATTAGCTGAATAAATCGTCTCCAAACAACCAACTTTCTCGATTCCTTTCTATAAGAAAAAAATCTTGCATTGCTCTATCGTTAAAAATAAACTATTATTATAGCTTGATTTTGTGAAATACCACGCACCCTTAATGCCTCACGACCTTCTCATTTTTTTAAGGTAAACGAAGGTGTGTGTACCCTTTCTATTTTAGGTATTGGTGATGGAAACGTGGGCTATTTAAACTCCAATATTCTAAATGTTCTCCACAAATACAGAGCAAATATGACTTCTTCTTATAGAGTGAGGAGCCCAGCCTAGGTGGGGTACCGGACTCCTGTGGCTTTGAATATATTTAAGTGAACCAGCCTGACCACTGGTGTTGAGCCACGAGCAGTTTACATGAGGTTCAATGACGAGGGGAGTAGCCTATGGGGACTGCATCTGCTTTGGGGCTGATACCAGAAAGTTTGCCCTCCTGGAAAACGTCCCACAAACTCGATGTTAAACGTGGCACGTAACCAGACACCGCGTAACAGCAGCAGCGCCTCTGGATTGTGTTAATTGGAGGTAAGTAAAAAGGTTTGATTGAGAGCTGGAGATCACACAGATGCAGTTTTGTAAAAGAGTAAAAAAAAAAGCGGGGATAGTTGGGTGGAAAATGTCTTCTATCTATCTTATATAAGGTGATAAGTGTGGATATATTTCTCTAAGCGCACTGCACTTGCATGCGCGCGCTCGTTCCCTGGCATCACTGCGCGCGTGCACGGACACCGAGGAGACAGCCTGAGCAATTGTAGCCTAAATGTCAGCGCTGCGTCACTGGATTCCTTACAAACTGGGCAGGAGACTTTTTGGTTATTAGTTTTCGCACAGCCCCGCGTCATGCTCTTGTTACGAGCCAGACGCGTCGATCTCAAACTATCACCTCCTCAGTGTTACCTCTGAATCTCCTCTATTGTTTGCCCACCACACAGCTCTTTGTTCATGCATGCTGTATATGAGTATTCAAAGGCTTTCGGCGATTTACATCATTCAGATTAAAGCAAATCTTATCAATTAACACCACAGCAGCGCCGGTGCCGCGTCACTGCAGCAAAAATCACATTACCCGACAATCTGAATATGAAATCTGAGATTTTAGGTTATAAATGTCACCGCTGTAACAGGCTAAACATTGGCTTTACATCGATGTAAACGCAAAGGCATACAGAAAACAAACAGTGAGCGATAAGTATGTAATGCAAATCTCTCCACTGAATATGCATCAATATTAAAAATAATACGCACACCAGAGCCAACGGCGTCGGAGAACTGAGAATGGCGGAGCGGGTCGTCTCATTACGCATGGGCGGTTTTCCACGCAGGAGCCACGGTTCCCGTTCTCTTCATGTCTCCCTCTTCTGTCCCGTTCACATTAACAAAGCCTCTTGGAAAAAACAAACAAGGCTATGTTGGCTTTCAAAACGGCAATCAAACACCCAAGAACTGGCTGGGGGGGAATTACTCCGACTGCGGCCGGGCGGACTATGTAGTAAGCGGGATTTGCATATTTTGATGCGCTAATTGCCTTGATGTATTTAAATATGGCTGCACGTAGCTGATATGCTTGTCTACGTCATTGAACGTGCCCTCGCTGTTAAACTAAAACGTGAATCCGGTTGAATCTAATGGATACGCCTGCAATTAGGCAAAGAGAAAGGGAGGGGGCGAGTGGGGGGTAATATGAGAGAGGATGCTTTGCGTTCCCAGTTTGCTGTCTTTTCAGTCACATGGTGGTTTTCTGACATTTTAAAGACATTCAGAAAAAATAACATTTTGTTGTTTTGGGGGGGATTTCTAATATGTGGAAATTGTGGCCGGGGAAGATAACAGGGCAGGTGGAGCCTGACGCGTTTGCGCCAGACACAGAAAAGTGTTATTCTGGCAGAGTTCGTTTTGCAGAAAAGTCAAGCAATATTATATATTCATAAAAACCAAAAAAAAAAGTGTGTCATCACCAAGAGAATTAGCTGAAGACACAGGCTCACAGGCTACTGGTGGGCTACTGACAAGTAGGTCACCTCATTCTAACTTTTTGTGTGTGTGAGAGATTTTTCTTATCTTTCTTTTCCCTTCTCTCCAGTGTGTGTGTGTGTGTGTGTGTGTGTGTGTCCACTTTAGGTGGGGGCACGCGCGCTTTTATGTGTGTGCGTCTTATAAGATTACCTCTTATTAGGCTACTGGGAGCAAGGTTAAATTCATAAGCCCAGTATAGGCCCATACTGTACACACAGATCCAATCAAAACATTTTCAATGAAGTTTAAAGCGCTGTGTGTTTTTTTTTTTTCTTTCCTCTTTTTCTTTTTATTATAGACCTCATTCTAGACTTAGTTTGGGAATTGCATGTAGCAAATCATTTCCCCTCTGTCTGCAAACCGGTAAATGCGTTCCGTTTGTCAAAGCGTGTTAGCGAAGCGCCTGCAGCAAATTCATTACCACCCAACTGCGAGGCTCACTTCGTAACCTGGTCAGGGAAAAGGAGGGAGAGGTCCACGCCAAAAACCGCGAACAATGCTGCCTCAGTTCGTGCGTGCAACAAAAGAACCGAGGGAACTTGTTTGAATTTCAGAGCACGTCCTCTCCTCACACAGAAGGATGGACTTTACATCCCCTCCTCTCCTCCTCTCCCCCCCCCCACCACCACCACACACACACACCCCACCCCTCCTCCTCCTCATCATCATCATCACCTCCTCCCTCCTCATCCCACCCCACCACCAACAGGGGGGTGAAGAAAAAAAAAACTTGCACACTCTGAGAGCTCAACTGTGCATGCACTTTTCTATTTGGTGCTTGTAGACGTTATGGGAAAGTTGTCTCTCTCCCTACATCTCTCTCCCTCTCCCCATCCCTCCCTCCCTCCTTCTCTTCGTCTATCATGTGCTTGGGATATGCTCATGCTTTGCACAGAGCAGCCGAAGCACGCCTAATGCAGGCTACTGAGTGTTAGCGGCAATTTTAAAGTGATGCCCCCCCACCAAATATAATACGGCTGGGATATTTGAGGGGAACATATAGGACCAAGTCACGGTACACACGGACCCAACTGCACACCGCTGTTCTTCTGCTTGGGACGCTTGCTGGTCGATTGCAGTGATTTGACCCACCTTTAGGAAGTAAGTGCAACTTTTGTGCCTGTTTTTAAAAGGCTGCGTGTGAGGCAGTCGTGTGCGTAAAGGTTTCCCCTGTGCGCAAAAGTTAAATATAATGCTATCGATAAGAAATATGTGTAGCTGCTCTATTAGGAGTTCACAAGGACTCGTGATTGGTGGTGAGATTCCACTTAATTTGTGAAGTTTGTGACTGTGAATGTTTCTTCACAGTTTGGAATTAGGGCGCACTGATTAGACTTTTTGGCACCTTTTATACTCCAACTGAGCGGTAACTTAGCAAAGTCTGCCTCAGGTGTGTGTGATGTATATATATCAATAATGATGACTTTAATATTGTGCACTTGAAAGCCGGATCCTCTCGTTTCATTCCGCTTTCTGGAATTAACTTCACTTGACTTTTTTCGGCAGTATTCCCAAAGCCGTAGATGCGCCTCTGGGTAACTGCTTTTGTTCCTCCAGCTTAAGAAACGAACATCTTGTTAAAACTGATATTGCCTGAAATTATCCTTATTATTAGGCCTATACACCAGCGAAGACGCTGTCGTTGGATGAAGTAGTGTGGACTCGACACAGTGTGAAAAATGTAATTTCGGGAGCGATGTGTTCGGGATTATTTCAGAAAGTGATAAAAACGCGTGCAGAAAATCACATTAAAATTATTATTATTTCTCCAGAAACTAGTTGAAATGTTGTGCTGAAACAGAAGTAGGAAGTTCGGCTCCACTGAATGAATAAGGGTCACCAAAATCGCCACACAATGTATTGAATACAAAGCCTTCATTTTATTGTTTATCCATGTGTTATTACGCATGAAAGCCTCGTTGGTCCAAATAATACAGCTAATAATACGAAAAGAATCGCGCCCTTCTGGTATTCATTTTTTTCCCTGGCTGCTCAGCACTGTATCATTAACCCTCACGGAAATACAGCTTATTATAATTTCAAGAGGATCAGCAGGTTGTAAGTTTAAAAAATGGTGTGCTGTGATTAAATCATGGCCTCTGTGTGGGAGGCCTATTCTGAAGCCTCCTTTACCCTAATGAGGTGCGCTTTATAATGTTGATCATAATGATATTAAGTTGGCCTTACAGTTTACTACTCATCAAATCCACATCAGGGGGACAGAGTGATTGTGGATGTGTCGAAATAAAGGGATGAAGAACTTATGCGTAAATTAGTGGATTTGGGAGTATTCTCTAAGGCACAAGTGGCGTTTGAACGAAATTAAATGTGCCATATGTTGCAGGTGGGAGATGATATTTAGGCTGAAACAGAAATAAGCAATGCAAAAGCTGTGTCTGAACGTTTGAGCGACAGAGTGCTGTTTATAGCAAGTGATCCATATTGAAATGCACAGGCCTTGTGACTCATATTTGCTCATTAAAACACCTCTGCTGTGCCCCTCCCACCGACCAAACGAGAGTAAACTTGAGAGCCAGATCTAAAACTGTAGCAAGTGAATGGGGCACCTGAAGAAGAAAAAAAAGCTGATGATGCCATTGACAAATAATACGGTGTTAATTTGTCACCACCTGATCACTTCTCCTGTCACATGCACACACACACACACACACACACACACACACACACGCACACACGAGCTCTCCCTCACCTGCAGGCACACACAAATGAGTTGATGGCTGTCAGAGAGCAACTTTTGTTTCCCTGATTTGGGTGTTTTATGGTCCGAGCTGAATCAAAGTTGTGCATAAGGTGCCATAAACTGACTCGGTAACCTGCAGTTGCATGCTCCTGCGCATGATCCATCACATGTTCCACTGCTTGTTATTGTTGACCCACTTCCAAAGATCCTATATATGAACCCATTTGTGCTAAGCTATCGGTTAACTACTTACATTTCTGTGGTAAAGTGAGCGGGGCTGACACGCGTACACGGTGAAGCGCTTGGGCTTTATTCCGCGTGAGGCGACATCGCCACAGCCTACCTGAATACCATTGTAGTCTACCCTTCGGATGCGACGATGACAAAACACACACGGGGCTGGTATTTCGACGCGAAACCCGAGTACGCGAGAGCGATTCTAGTCCTACGGTGGTGCCTCTTATATGAGGAGGAGATGAGCGACCGAGCAGCGTGTTATTGCGAATAGAAAATGTATAGCCTACATTGGAAAGACAGAAGACGCTGGCGCTCAGGCAGCTCCAGGATGCTCTCTTCATAGAGTTGTCTCATTTTTTTTATTGTTCAGATACTAAATCTGACCGCATCTTCCACTAAAAGCAGTTGAATCGCTGTCTTTCTGTGTAAAAAAAAAACATATGGTGTCCCTGCCATCCATTTTCATCCCTGTGTGAGAGCGAGCAGGCGTGCAGACTGCTCGATGCAAGGCGGACTTATTCCAACGCGCTCAGTGTAATGGATGGAGATTGTGCATGGATAGGAGGGTGCATTT